TTTTTTTTTTTTTTGAGACTTTGGCTTTGAGATCAACCAGTTGGAAACCTTCCTTTGGCCCTAAAATTAACATCCTCCTTCCTCACTCTCATACCCTCAGTGAAATACTAATCTTGCAGTAATGTGCAGATGATTGCTATTAATCTTTATCTGCCAAAAGTTTTAGCATTATACTCTGGAGAAAGTTCCAGTACTATAATTATTAAAATAAAGCACATATGACATCTTTGTTATATGTGTCCTTAATATATAGGAATAGATAAATTACTAATCATTTATCTCCTTTTTATATTACTGTTGTAGGAATTTGATTATGTTTTCTCAATTGATGTAAATGAAGGTGGACCATCATATAAATTGCCATATAATATCAGTGATGATCCCTGGTTAACTGCGTACAACTTCCTTCAGAAGAATGATTTGAATCCTATGTTTTTGGATCAAGTGGCTAAATTTATTATTGATAACACAAAAGGTCAAATGTTGGGACTTGGGAACACCAGTTTTTCAGATCCTTTTACAGGTAAGTTAGGGTTTGTATGAAGGTTTAAGTAACAGGAGAATCCCTGTAGCAGTTTGTCTGGGGCCAGGTTCAAACGCGCCACACTCTGTATATGGGGCCAGCGCCCTACTCACTGAGCCATAGGCACCGCCAAAAGAACCCCTGAACCCTGCCGGCAGACTGCCCAAGTTACTGTAACAAACTCTTCAACATACAGAGGTGGTCAACATAAGGAACTAGGCCTGCTGTATTGATACATACATATGGTGCATGTCTATTCTATGAAAATTAGGTCAACTTGAGGTGGTCTATATAGGGAAGTGGTCAGCTATGGAGGTTTACTTCTATCAGTGTTGATTGATCTTTTTTTTTTATAAGACAACTGTTGTAATTAGCTATTAAAATAAAAAGTTGGGTGCCTGTAATTTCAGCTACTTGGGAGTCTGAGGCAAGAGAATTGCTTGAGCCCATGTATTTGAGGGCGTGGTGAGCTATGATGCCACAGCACTCTACCAAGGGCACATGCACACACAATAAAAGAAACTTGT